CCCTATGCATAGGAGCCAGAGGGGAGACATGCTGCTGCTGCTTCCAGGAGCCGCACGGAACGGGGCAAGCCCCCAACCCTGCTCCCTGGCTGGAGCGCCGGAGCAGGGCAAGCTCTGGACCCTGTTCCCCAGCGGGAGCTCGAGGACCAGATTAAAATTTCTGGAGGGCCGGATGCGGTCCCCGGGGCCATAGTTTGCTCACCTCGGTATAAAGTGTACTCAGTTGAAGGCCTTTTTTAATTCCTATTGGACAGATTTTGCCATTGTTACTCATGTTGAGTGTAGTACCTTACTTTGCAAGCAGTCCCTCTGAAATTATTCTATAATAATTCCAATGGACTTGGGTGTGCCACCCTTACATTACAAATAGTACCTTACTTTATGAGGAGTCCCACTGATGCCACGGAAATCATGGGCAATGCTCACAAAGTAAGGTGCTGTTCAAGCAAGGAGAAGTTGCAGAATTTGGCCTTATGTTACTCAATCATGCAAAAAGCAGGGTTGTTATAGTGGAGGAAACAAAACTATATATAATATACTATAGTCAATATGCATGTACATGCATTTTTTCAGTATCTATTTAACTAATTAACATAGGCATAATTATAGGGAAGTCAAAGAGACAGCTCTCTGCCCCTTCCAATCACCCAAAATTTCAGCTTCGGAAGGATAACAATTGTCTTTCTTAGAATCACCAACACCATGAGCCAGGCCCAAAAATCTTGGGATTGGCTTAAAAATCAGATTCTTTTAGAAACAAAAAAACCCCCTGAGTTTGGGATTCTTTTTATTTGCCTTCCAGTTTTTGAGTCTGTCAAGTTCATGCTTTCAGACTTTTCTTTGCAACCATGAAGGCCAGAAACTTACTTTAAAACAGGGCTCCACTGAGTTTTAAGTGATGAATAAATCTTAAATGGTCCCTTTCTGATAGGATGTTTACCCACACATGCCATGAAAGGATTAATATGGATTTGAGAAGCCAATTAATCACCTTGTTTGCACCTGGAGGATGGGCCAGAGATAAAGCCTAGCTTGGGAGAGGGGGAGAGCTAGAGCTTTTTCCATAAAGAACTGGGTGAGCCCAGGTGGAGAGTGGAGACCCAGGGGAGAGGTGGGAAAGAGGTCCCTCTCTCTGGGAAGCAACATAAAAGACAGCTGAGAATTAGAGAAAAGCAGACAGTCTTCTCTAGGGACAAGGTGGAAGCCTGACTTGAGACAGGGACCTCTGAGGAGTTGTAGCTTGCTTGAACTCCTAAGTGAGGAAAGGAGTGTTCCCAGCTGCTGGGCTGTGGGGTTGATTGAGGCACAGAAGCCTGTGGCTAGACAAGAGGACAGTCTAGTGCAGCAGAGGTATGCCTGTTACAAAGTGGCTGCCAGCTGAGCCCAGCTGGGCTGAATGTTTGGTTTTGCATACATTTTTGTTGAACTTTGGTAAAGACTCTGTCCCCAGAAGGGACAGAACTCTGTAAAGTAGTCTGGCTGGAGGACCCGGACACTCCTACATATGGAGTAGGCCAAAGGACAGTGGGAGAGAACTGAGGCAATGGGGCTGTGATGCCATATCCAGCCCAGAGAGGGTGTGTTGGGGCAGCAACTTTGCTACACCTTGTTATACAGGAGTTAATCTTGCAGTATGTATATTTTGAGAAATATAATGATGTTTTTACTGTTTCTTTTTCTGACTGCAACTACACTTCAAATTTCCATATGGTCCAAGGATCTTAATATATTGAACATCTCCCAGAGCCCGTTTGTGTGTGAACTATGAACTATGAAAGGAAAACATGACACCATCACCAGCTGTTCAGGGCAAGAGATGACTTCCAACATGAAACGGGGATTTGAAGAGCAATGCCTAATTTAAATAACATTGCTAAATGAGAAGATGCTCTCAGGTTGCTTCACATGGACTAAGAAAGACTGTTTTGATTTTTGGTTTGCAAAAACACCTCATTTGCTAGCTTTAGTTTTTGCAAACCCAGAGATATTTAGTATCAAGTTTCTATTTAATCTGAACCATGAATGTTTGGGGGGGTTCAGTTCTGGTTCATCTCTAAATCCAATGGTTGGATCGACATATAACTTACCCTTTCTACGGTGTCCTTTTATAGATAATCAGTTCTGCAGTTGCATAAACCTTTTGTGCTTAACAGCTATCCATGACTTCAGAAAAGCATTAAGCGGTTGAGTTTACATCAGTACTGATAAGATCAGTAGTTAAATAATGGATTATATGTCAGTAACAGCACATTGGAGAGGTTTTTTTATGAAAGCAACTGTTTTAAAACAGAACCCACAGTACTGAACATCCAGCAGGGTGAGATGTGGTTCATTTCAGGTCTCCTAGCACTCTTTTTACTATATTGGACAATAAGTCCACCGTAGAATTTAGAACCATGTATGGAAAATATAACAAACAAAATAAATGTAGTAAAAAGATTCAAAATTTTACATGACCTCTTGTAATTCTCCAAGAACTTTACTCCAGGGGTTCTCAAACTGGGAGTTGGGACCCCTCAGGGGGTCGTGAGGTTATTACATGGGGGTCATGAGTTGTCAGCCTCCAACCCAAACCCGGTTTGCCTCCAGCATTTATAATGGTGTTAAATATATAAAAAAGTGATTTTAATTTATAAGGGGAGGTCGCACTCAGAAGCTTGCTATGTGAAAGGGGTCACCAGTACAAAAGTTTGAGAACCACTGCTTTACTCTCTCTGTGTCTTCTACTTTTGTGCTTTTGTGATGTGGTTGTTGATATTTTGTAACCTACTGGAATTTGTAAATGGCTTTTCACGGATCCAGAACTACTTAAGTTAGTGGTATATGGTATTAGAAGATTTTACCAGGTATTTTGAAGGGATACTTGCAGTGCTGCAGAGCCTAATGAAACTAGTATTTCTATTTATCATAAGAGAAAGTTGAGAGAAATACACACACACAACTTCAAGTACTGTAATTCCCACAATGAATAACCTAAATTACTTGAATCCTGTGAACTTATCAAGAAAATCTCCTGTATGCCAAATGCACATTAAAACGGGGTGGGGTTTTGGCCACGTGTGATGCTGGTACAGCATATCTTACTTTTGCAGTGGAGTGGCCGAGCTGAAACTCTTGTTTGAGGGGTGGTGAACTCCATATGTGTGTATTCAAATCCACGCTCCTTTTTTCTAGAGGGTTTTGTGGGTGGCTTCGCTGTTAGATTTCTAGCTTTCGGAGCATCCAGTGTGACACCAGAAAAGGCTATCCTTCCTGAGGAAAATAAAATATAAAAATAAAAAAATGACTTCCAGAGGTGGCCTGGAAAGCCAAGTTCCTTATAGTGGGATCAGGGTATAATCATAAAAGGAGGAAGTTATGAAAGACTTGAAAATTACAAATAAAAACACTTAACTAAACCAAACCCTCGCATGGAGACTAGTAAAGCAATGGTGGCTCTTTACAGCAGATGGTTTTTATCCTTTTTTGAGGAAGATAAAATATGATGTTTATCCACTGCTGTAATTGTTCCCCAAATACAACTTTACTCACCATCAGCTGTTCCAAAATTCTATGGGAGACTACAGCCCCAGTTCTGCTTTTGTTAGCGTTACTCCAGACTTCCATCAGTGTAACTAAGATGAGATTCTAGCCCTACTTTTCAGAGGCATACCATCATAATCAGGGCCAGCTCCAGGGTTTTGGCTGCCCCAAGCAGCCGAACAAAACAAAAAAAACAAAACAAAACAAAAAAGTCGCGATCGCGATCTGCGGCGGCAATTCAGCAGGAGGTCCTTCGCTCCGAGCAGGGGTGAGGGACCGTCCACCGAATTGCCGCCGAACAGCTGGACGTGCCGCTCCTCTCCGAAGTGGCTGCCCCAAGCACCTGCTTGGTAAGCTGGTGCCTGGAGCCGGCTCTGATCATAATGCTCCCCAGAAGGCAGGGGAAATAACCTTGTAATTTTCCACAAATTTGGGCTCGTTCTTGCGAACACTTAGAGTAACTTTCCCCATGTTCCTACTCTTGTGCATATTGTTATTCACATCTCTAAGTGTTTGCATTATAGGGTCCTAAAATGACAATGTTTCTTGCAATTGTTACCATTCTTTGTTGTCATTTTCCCCTGGCTCTTTGAAAGAATAAATTATCTTTATTGTTGGGAAAAAAATGAATAAGATTCAGTCACTGGGTTTGAGTCAATTAACAGCGCTGCAACTTTCTTGCTCAGGAGTGTGAAAAAACACCCCCATGAGGGCAGCAAGTTGCAGCGCTGTAAAGCACCAGTGTAAACAGTGCCCCGGCACTGGGAGGTATGCCCCTTATTGAGGTGGGTTTTTTTAGAGCGCCGCAACCACATAAGCCATGTTAAAGCGCTGCCACGGAGCACTTTAGCATTGCCAGTGTACACTAGCCCTAAAGTGAGTTTTCTGCCATGTCTTTGATATTATGTGTTTGCCATCAGTCTTTATTACACAATGTCAGTATTTCCCAAACATTTGAAAATTGAGTCCTTATTCAGAAGAATGAAACCAATCTTTTCTTCCACCTGCTATGTGGTGTTAAAGGCCTACACATCTTGATTTCTATCCCATTTGCTTCCTACACTTTGGGAAATACTTTGTCGTTGGCACATCCTCTCCTTTCTTAAATGATGTGATAAGCAGTGAAATAGTTGTGTGCATCTGAAGTAGTATCTGTTGAAATGAATGGGGGGGTGGGGGGGCTTCATAATTCAGAGCTGCTATTTCAGGTTTTCTGAAAACTCTGGTAGATGTAGGTATCTGTTACTCATTTCATGCTTGAAGATTTTCTTTGCAAATGTAATAGCTAAAATGTGTGTTATAATTAAACCTGAGATTCTGGAGAACAATTGTCAGGTTTGTCCATGCCTGCCCTTCCAATTACCCCTTCACGCGCAATTCAGTGAGCACATGCCTTGCACTATGCAGTATTTATGTTTAATGTTTACATTTTTTCTAATGTATAATCCTGCTTGTAACCAATTTTATTTGTTTTTCAGAATGAGATGAATGCCATAGCATCATCAGGCCTCTTCTTCAAAGATGGTAAAAAGCGCATTGATTACATCTTGGTCTATAAAAAGTCAAGTCTACAAATAGAAAAAAGAAACACTTTTGAAAAGAACCTAAGGGCAGAGGGCTTAATGTTAGAAAGAGAGGTATGTCTTCTAGTATATATTTATTCTGAGATGACCTATAAATTATTGTGATAAACTATTAAATGTTAAGAATATTCCTAATTTGTTACAAACAGACTTTCAAAATTATAAGTGCTGACCAGGATTTTAGTGTTATACGTGAATAACGTAGCTGAAGTTATGTACCTTAGTTCGAATTAGGGGGTTAGTGTAGACCTGCCCTAAGTAGATAGGGCCCAATTGACCACTGTACCACTCCATACATCAGTTCATCTCCACTGATTTAAATGGAATAATGCCAACATAAACAAGATCAACATAGTGGTGAATCTGTCCCTTTCTGATTTAGATGGTAACATATAACACTAAAATCCTGGTCAGCACTTATAATTTTGAAAGTCTGTTTGTAACAAATTAGTGTACACGTTATTCACGTAGCTGAAGTTCGAAGTACCTTAGTTTGAACTTACCTCGGTCCACACGCGGCAGGCAGGCTCCCCCGTCGACTCCGTGGTACTCCTCTCGCCAAGCAGGAGTACAGCAGTCGACGGCGAGCACTTCCGGGTTCGACTTATTGCGTCTTGTCTGGACGCGATAAGTCGAACCCAGAAGTTCGATCGCTCGCCGCCGAACTACTGGGTAAGTGTAGACCTACCCTTAGTGTTTTCTTTCTCACTCTCCCAGTTGGCACAGATGGGAGCACTGTGAAGTAAAAACTGAAGTCCACCCACTAGTCAGTCCAAACAGCATTGATAGGCTCGAAAAAGAGTCCCTTCCCAATCTTCTTTTACTGATTCAGACCAGGGACTTGAATAAGGATCTCAGCATCCAGCTAAGTGTCTTCACCACCAGGTATTGGCTCTTCTGGGGTGATGGAGTGTCTATCTCTGGTTTTTCATGAGAAACTTTGAAAGGGTAAATGTTTGAAATTTTTTAAGGGAGGAGATAACCATTTACCACCCACTACTCTATGAGATCTACTCTACAAGATGATGAGGTTGATAAGTCTCATCTGATTCCCCCAGAACCATTTTAACAGTATGCAGAATTAGTGGCGTTGTTGGGCCAAGGATAGCAGTAAGATAAAATAGGATGTCTATCCACTGCTATAATGTTTCCCCAAATACAACCCCCAATACAACTACTCTGATAGCAGTAATAGCTCAAAATATCTCAGCTAAGGGATTTAAAGTCAGAAATCCTGCTAGGAAAATGTGTTTTGTCTGTTTTTTGAATTGTAGATTATAGAGCAGGAATATTTATGTACAGACTCAATTCAGAAGCAGGCTCTGCACTTTATTCTCCTCTCGCTTGTGAACTTCCATAGCATTCAGTGGAATTACTCCCGATTTACACCAGTTAAATGGAGACCAGAATAGGGTCTTATTTAAACAAAGTTGTTAGACTCTTTCAAGTCATTCGTGCACATACCTACACACAGTCTCAGCTAATTTGACAATTAAATTAGCTAATTTTGAAATTATTGTATTTAATATTGGTGTTACTATTTTGATCCAATCTAGCAAAACAGAAAAAAAATCTGAAAATGTCTGATATTTTGAAAACAGAACCATTATCCCCAAAAGCCTATTAACAAGCAATAAACTTGACATTTTAGAAAAGTAAAGCTTTCTAAATTCAGAATTTAATTTGAATATCAGATAATTCTCTAACAAGATATTGTTTAAATGTGACAAGTTTAGATGCAAAACAATCATTTTGAAAGAAAAAAAATCATGCAAAGCAACATTATAAGTCTGTAAAATGACTTAAAACAAAACTGTAAATCTTTTTAATTGTAATGTATTTATTCTTAAATTCACTTTATTTTTTCAGTCCCTTTAATATGACACCTTGCAAGCTGCCACGCAAAGACAGTATAGTTAAAAACATACATTATTGTGCCCTTCCGGTGTTATGTAGATAACATTTTCTCCCTATTATCTGTGTTTTAAAGGTTGTTTGCAGTGTTGTTGTAGCCACACGAGTTGGTCCCAGGATATTAGAGAAACAAGGTGGGTAAGGTAATACCTTTTATTGGTTGATGGAAAAAAAGCAAGCTTTCAAGCTTAACTAGACCTGAAGAAGAGCTCTATATAAGCTCAAAAACTTGTCTCCTCCAACCACAGAAGTTGATCCAATGAAAGATATTACCTCACCTATCTTGTCTGTCTTAAAGGTTAAGCGTTGAAATGATTAATATTCCTTCAAGAATTATAGAATAAAAGTAGCATTTCCTTTTAGATATGTATAAGAAATATTGTCATGGACCCAACTATCTATCCTCAGGCAAAATGCTTTTTGGCTTCAGCACGGCAGTTTTCAGTGAGTAAGAACTGCAGGATCATGTCCACTGATAAGTGACTTCTGTCAATATTTATAAATTGGAAGCGGTCTGTCAGCATAGTGGATGAAATTCAATCCTTTCCACAACATGGATAGGAATTCACCACCAAGTAACAGGCAAAGTGTGGGGTATCTCCGTAACTAATCCCTTTATACCAACTGTTCCGGCTCCCTGCAGTGGAATAGTGGCTCTGATCTCTTTTTGTCAGATTCACTGGGCCCTCTGGGCTATCCAGATCCCCTTTTTGTGTGCTGAATGATGTAGAGCTGGCATTGGAGAGGTGAGAGTCCCCTATATGCCAACTTCACAGCCATCTTCCTCCCAAACAGAGGATGTTCTACTTTTCCATTGTGTTCGGAGCCTTCTGCAACTTGATTGTCTTGGGATGTATTTTACTCAGAGTACTACCGGTAGTACTGAGAAGCCTGTTAAAACAAGGGGAAAGAAGTGAGGAGGGATAAAGACAGAAAGCATGTTAACTATGAAGGAGATTTGATGGAATTACTTTCTAATGTCCTTCTTGCTGCTTGCATAAGACACTCAGACCTGAAGTATTCTCAGGTCTTACTCTCACTCAGTGGTGCAAGATCGGGTCCTAAGTGTATATTTAAAAAAATTAAAATCCGCATAAGATTTTATAATCCTTTCACTTGAAAACAAAATGAAATAGGAGTAGTAAAAATTATTCCCCATCCACACATACACCATAGCAAACCACTGTCATGTCCTGATAGACAACCCCCCACCCTCTGCCGCCCATTCCTGACCAGTACTCTGAAATAACCGAGGCAGAAACTATTACCAAAAATCTACAGTAGGTTTTACACCAGATCCAGTGCATAATGAGGTGGTGACTTCAGTGGATTTATACAGATTAACACAAGATAATGATCTTTCCCTTGCTGTTTTAATTAGTTCTGAGGAAATGTCCAGCAGAGTGAATATGATAAATGAGTTTTACATATATTTACATTTCATTATTTACATTCTTTATGTAAAGTCTCATTGTCAAATTAATCACTGGCATAAATGGGTACAACTCCTGTTAACTTCATTAAGAGTTGTACCTGCTTTCACCACAGCCTTAATTTTGTCCTTTGAGTGTATTAACAATAGGCTTTCAAAATCCAATTGTCTGTAGTGATAAACCATTTTCAGTTCCTACTCTCACAGTTAAAACTTGTAAAGAGGACTGAGAGGGAAAGAAGATGAAAGGCATGTATTAAAACAAAGAAGATTGCTATCAGAAAGAACAATAATAAAATGTATACTCAAAATGATTTACCACCTGCTACATTGCCAATTACTTTAATATTAGTTTCTCTCCAGAATTATCGCATTGATTTAAAAAGTAATCAGCACCCGGCTGGAAAGTTTTCTGGAGTTAAACTGCAGGTTGGGGATAAAACAGAAAAAATAAACATGTCACTTATGAATCCAAACTTATTGTTATTAGATTTATAAAAAAAATTGGTTAAAAATATTAATTTTAAAATAAAATAAAAATCCAAAGACGTGGAATGAGGTGCCCAGGTGCTATTGACTTTTAATGAGAGTTTCGCATCTAACTGCCTGTTTGGCCTTTGAAATCTCCCCCAAAATGGTTAAGAATGGACCTTGGAAGGTCCATTTCTTGGAAAAAAAGACTCAACCCCACCAATATGTTTGATCTATAAAAATGCAAGTGAATACATCTGGAGGAAAACAATCTGAAATTGAAATATTGACCAGGAAGGAGCAATGTAGAAAGCAGTAATAATAAGAAAATAGAAATGTTGTGATGGGAATGCCCTCAAAGTCATCGAGTCCACCCCCCTGAGCCGAAGCAGGACCAAGTAAACTTAGGCCATCTTTGACAAGTGTTTGTCCAACCTGTTCTTGAAAACCTCCAATGACCAAGATTCCCAACCTCCCTTGGAAGACTACGCAAGGGCTCTCCAATTTGTCAGTCATTCTAATCCTCTCCTCCAAAGTGCTTGCAACCCCCCCACTTGCTGTCATCGGCAGATTTTATAAGCCATGCTCTCCACTCCATTATCCAAGTCATTAATGAAAATATTTAATAGCACCACACCCAGGACTGACCCCTGTGGGACCACACTAGATAAGACCTCCCAGTTTGATAGTGAACCACTGTGTGTATGGTCTTTCAACCACTTCTGTACCCACCTCGTAGAATTTCATCTAGACCACATTTCCTTAGTTTGCTTATGATAATGTTATGTAGGTCTGTATCAAAAGCTTTATTAAAATCAATATGTCCCCATTGTTAATATTAATTGCATTGAGTATGAGCACCATTAACTTTTTTAGTGAAGACTGAAGCAAAATAGATGTTAAGCACCTTCGCCCAGGGCCGGCTCTGTCTTTTTGGCTGCCCCAAGCCAAAAACAAAAAACAAAAAAAACCCTGCGGCGCGGCCGGAGCGCGGGTGCAGGAGGACCGGCTGGGGGAGGGGGAAGGGAGTGGGCGGGAGAGAGAGAGAAGGGGGCGGTCAGGGCTACAGCAGGGGCGCTGCCACGCGGCCCTTCCCGCTGCACCGCCTCCTGCTGCCTGCCGCGAGGGCTCCGCTCCGGTCTGCAGGGAGGGAAGGAAGAGGACTGCCCTGCAGGGTGCTCTGGCCCCCTACAGGGCGGCCAGAGTGGAACCAAAAAAAAAGCCGCCTCGAACAATCTGCCGCCCCAAGCACCAGCTTGCTCAGCTGGTGCCTGGAGCCAGCCCTGCCTTCGCCTTCATGATGTTATAAGCTCTTCTTCCCTGCTAAGTAGAGGACCTACAATTTCCTGCATCTTTATCTTGCTCCTAATGTATTTAAAGACCAACCTCTTATTGCCTTTTATATCCATTGCTATAGCTCATTTTCACCTTATTCTTTCTGATTTTGTCCCTACAAGCTTGTATATTTCATATTCCTGTTTAGCAATTTGTCAGTTTCCATTTTTTGTAGGATTCCTTTTTGATTTTCAGATCATTAAAGCACTCCTGATGGCATCTTATTATTCTTCCTATCTTTCCTTTGCATCAGAATCAGGGCCGGCTCTAACTTTTTTGCCGCCCCAGGCAAAAAAGAAGAGCGGCGCCCCGCCATAACACCTCCTCCCCCCCGAGTGCCGGACCGGGCCGCCCAAACCCCTGGAGCGCAGGGCCGCTCAAACAAAAAAAACCCCCTCTAGTGCCGCCCCACCGAACAAAAAAAATAACCAACAAAAACACTGCTAACGCCCCCCACCACTCCAACATTTGCCGCCCCTTCTAAGGTGCTCCCCAAGCACGTGCTTCGTCGGCTGGTGCCTGGAGCCGGCCCTGATCAGAATAGTTTGTAGTTGTGCATTTAATATTGTCTGTTGAGAAATTGCCAGCTCTCCTGAACTCCTTTATCTCTTGGGATTTCTTCCCATGGGAAGTCCTCTGAGTTTGTCTTTTTTGAAGTCCATTGTTCTTATTCTGCTGCTCACACTCCTTCATTTCCTTAGAATCATGAAATCTATCATGTAAAAAGCGACAAAGAGTCCTGTGGCACCTTATAGACTAACAGACATATTGGAGCATAAGCTTTTGTGGGTGAATACCCGCTTTGTCAGACACATGAAATCTATCATAATGACTCTCACCCAAATTCCCTTTAACCTTCAGATCAGTGTAAAATGGCTGTACCCCTGATTACTTCCTCTGTCATCTAAAACAAAACATTTTCCCCAATACATTCCGAGAACTTGTTGGAAATTTTGTGTTTTGCCATATTACTCTTCCAACAGATGTCTGGGTAATTAAAGTCCCCATTACTACCAGGTCTTGTGTTTTGGATATTTGTTATTTGTTCATCATGCAATGCTCAAGATCCTTGAGAAGATTTTGCAAATCAGTAAATTCAGCAAATTAGATGTAATTCTACAGTGTTGATTATGATTTGGGAAAAAATTGAAATCTATAAAGGCACAAAACAGACATGATATTTGTCGTCTTCCCTTAGCAGGCCCACACCAGACTATACCCTTGTTACCACACCCATATCCCCTATTTAGGCTTGTCATCTTGGGGAGAAGGACATATGGCCTGCTGACACCATCCTTGGGCAGATGGTAGATCCATTCTCCACACTGGTGTCTTCAAGTGGGAGCCACCCATCATAGCCTCTGTGATGCCAATCCAGAATGGTAGTGGGCGGGGCGGGGGTAAATTTTTCATTTACTCACTCTGGCAGAAAGCTGAAGAAAACCACCTCCGACTGCTGTTGGCTCCCAGAGATATGGAATAGAGCCCTATCCTAAAGCTCCTTATGAATAGTTACTAGGTTACTCTAAGGGCTAAGTCCTTTGGAAAAGTAAGTTACAGTAACATTCTTCTGCCTGGCTCAGAAACAGTTCATAAAACTGAGTCACTTCCTCTAGGAAAATGAATCACAATGACTTCTGTTTATCTTACTGAGCCCATGGAGTAGGCTCAGCCAGTCTGATTCAGAAGAAATGCAAGGCGACGTCAGTCTTTCAACTACCACTATAATGCCATTTTGAAAAGGAAATTTGAAATGCACCTAAAATGAAGTTATCTCTCAATGACTGTGAGCAACAAGATAATGTAAAAAAAATTATGCTTTACTTTGAAGAACACTTTACTTGTGAAAACTTTCATACTAAAACACTGCATGTTTCTGGGAGCTCTGCAGACTCCAAAAATAGTAACATTGAGTGTGTTTAATTACGTAATGAATATTTCATACAGCACTTCATGTAACATATGGCTTTTGAACTTTGTTTTATTATATTGCTTGCTTGTTGCTTATAATTTATAATAAATGTAAAAAGGCTAGCACGTAGAGTGAAATCTTGACTCCATTGAAGTCAATGGCAAAACTCCTATTGACTTCATTGTGATCAGAATTTCACCCCAAGAATGGTACAAGAGTGTAAGGATAGATTTTTTTTTTAAATCAATATAAATAGTTCTGTGGAATAGTGATCCAAAGGCAGTGGTGGAAGCCCTATCTTTAAAGACATTCATAATAAGACTATAAATATAAAACACTAGAAAACAGCAGTCTGTATGGTCAGTGGAATAAACTGGAAGATGTCTTTGATTATGCTCATCTCCATATCTCATTGCAACTGCAGTGCACATATTATCATGTACTATTCTTTACTTAGGACTCTAGATGATGCCATAGACTTTAATGGGAGCAAAGCGCACACCTCTGAGAGAAGAAGTTGGCCCATAGGCATGTTTTCAGAAACCAGACTGCCACGTGGTACTCAACTGTTAATATATATTTATTTTATCACCCATTGCAGCCAGCTATTACGAGCAACGACATAATGTTTGTTAAAATTCACTGTCCATGGGATACGTTATGCAAATATGCAGAAAGAATGAACATCAGGATGCCTTTCAGGTATTGTGGTAACTATTTTATTTTTAATACTTTGATTTTTATGCTTTATATTTAACTGTTTTTACTCATTTATTAAGGTAACATGGAGTCCCCTCCTATTGTTCAAACTGAACAAAAAAGCCTCCTGCTGCATTATAACTAAATTCCTCTCTTCTGATCTCTTAAAAAACAATAATTTTTAAGGCCAATTTTGGGGGTAAAAACATGGCTGATGATAGAGGCCACTGTATCAAAAGCTTACTTTCTTAACAAACTCACATATCCCTGAAGAACTTACTGCTCAAAGCAAATCACACACATTTTGCAAGACCTTTTATGGAGGTCCTTTTCATGGTCTCAAAAGATCTGTGGTTTGTGGTTTTAGGCGTAGGAGCACGGAATCTTCTTCTGAATGATGGATCACAGCCAGAGCTTGACTGGAATTATATCCAAAGGCAAGGGAAGTTACAGAGTCAACTAATATTCGCTCTTTCAGAGATAAAACCCTGACATTCTGGAGAAAGCCAGAGCCCTTGTGTTCCTGGAATTCTCTTCACTTCCTGTTTCCAGATTGATGATCTTCAGTCTCCTTATTTATTTAGAGCTATACAAATGCTAAAAGGCAGCCTTGTCCATAAACTCTAAACACTTTTTAAATTAAAAATTACAACATAAATGTATTCTTGTAGTAAGTACAGAAATACAATTAAAAATAACCTATCTCCAGGAAACCAGTAGATGTAATATGCAATTCCCCCACCCCTGCAACAATTCCCCATGCTTATAATTTCCCATCATTTTTAAATGCCTGTGAGGGAGGGGAAGGGGGGGGGAAGATAACCCTTGTAGTGTGTGCTGAAACTCACTGGATCTGGGATACATCAGGCCAAGGTGGCAATCAAATTCCAAAGTAAGAATGCCTCACTGAGAATGCCCTTACAGCAGCTCCTTCTCACTTACATCAGTGGGGCTCTCGCTGGAGTGCCTCTGCTGATTTCAACTATGACAGTATGGCATGGGGAGAGAGAGATAATCCTTCATGTAAATAGGTCCTAATCTTAGACTTCACCCAGAAACTCTCAGGCAGCCTGTCTGTCTTCAATTGAAAATAGGTTTGAGTACCCATCCCTACATTAAACCAGAGCATTATGAAATTTAAACTCTTTGACTGAATCATTTCCCAAATCCCTTTTCATAGTAAACAACTTGATTTCCTTAATCACATGGTAAATGATTATTAGATTTTTTGATATTGCCATATGTGCTTCTCTCTCACTTGAATGATTCATTGTTAACGGTTCAAATATTCATTTTTCTCTAAATTTCAGGACCCAAATGAACTCTTTCTTTCTTGCCATTTTAAACCACTAAACAAAATGGGCTTTTTACCAGCAGACAAGAGCAGTCTATGCTGGGGTAGCACAACTGTTTTGGATCTAGTGCAGAAGCATGAGGCCTCTACACAAATAGTTCTGGTCTCCAAATGATCCTCTGAGTTCCACAGGGTTGGGGGGTGGGATCAGCAGTCTATTTTTGGGGAGCAACCCCATTGCTGACAAACAAGGAGAAACTCTGTGAGGGGATTCTCAGTTTTCCTCCCCTTGAGCAAGTTTTATCATATGGGAGGGACATCTGCCCTGGGATTCTAATTGAAGATTGGAATTCATTTAGACAGTTCACCAGTTATTTGTTGCTGTCTTAGCTTTTGATTGATGGGGAATATCACTGAATTTCCCAGTCAGCCGCTGCAAACCTTACACATGGATTCCATATTTGGCTTTTTAAGATGTTCTTCGGGGCTTAGAGGAGGTGAATTTATTCCCGTGTCTAGTCTTGATGAATCCACAACTAGTTCTTGCACAAAGATAGGGATGTTCTGGATATTCTTTAATTTGTTGGTGAAACTTACAGCCAGCATCTCTAACAACTTGTTTCAGCTTTGTGCCAGATAACTGGTGTTTACTTCCAGCAAGATGGGGAAAAAGCTCTTGGTAAAAATATAATAAAATGGGCTCTTAGAGCTAGTCAGCTGCCTGTCTGTCTTGTCATGGGGGAGTGATGCAGCCTAGTGGTCTGATTAGAGGAGCGACAGTTTGGCATTCTAATCCTGGTTCTGTTTATAACTCCTGCTGCTGCATTGGCAAAAGTACATGAGCCTGTTTTAATTGTCTTTACTAAATTGTGGAAGCAAAATACCTAATTTGCTTGTGCAAACTGAGGTTGTGTATGTAAATTCAGGTCCATGCAATTTTTTTTTTAAATCAAGACTTTATTAGGTGAGATTCTGACCTCACTGAAGTCAATTGTCTTAAATGTGAGCAAGATTTCCCTGTAAAAAAGAGGAGACGATACTTTTTCCTAGCTGACAGGAATGTTGAGATCAAATTGGCTAATGTCTTTGGAGCACTTTTAGGATGAGAAATGCAAGTTTTCCAAGTTGTAATATTGCTAATTTAGGCTCAACACTCTGAAATATTTGAACAACCACCATCAAAAAAAAGGGGGGAGCTGTTTTTTGTTTTTGTTTTTAATTTGAGAGCAAAACTGAATAGTTGTCTGCTAGCTCTGACCTTGTCAGCAAGTGAGCCATCAACCAAAGGCAGAGGAGAATGAATCAGTAACAGGGAGTGATTAAAGCTCCCATTAGCAGTTCTGTAAACAACCCAGCCTTCTCATAACTGCTTATTTATTTCAATGAAAAACAAATTAATAGAAGAAGAGCATGGGAACTGATTAGTGTTTTATAGAAGGAATCATAGCTGGCATTCTACTCTGCCTTTGAAGTGTGATAGTTAGAATGGGAATTATATACCGCACGCAATACAGCATAAAAATAAACCACTACGTGACTAGTCCTGCAGCTTGGATGCTAGTGAAATTCACTTTGACTTAAAAAAATAAAAGGGCAATATTTTGGGAGTCAGTGAGGTCGTGTAATTTGGGCCTAATCCTGCATTTATGACTTACTTGAATGGGACTGCTAACATGCATAAAGTTACTCACATGCATAAACGTGTTTGTTGGATTGGGGCCATTAATTGTATATTTCACTTTAATCATTTTTTCCCATTTCCTAATACTGTTTTTTCTCCCATCTTGTTATTTTTAGAAAGACTTAAAGTACAATAATTATTTAGATATTTGATCTAGCTGATTTCCTTACTTTAGAGAGAAATTTGTGAAATAAGGTCCAGTTCCTACAAATATTTATATACGCTAACAATTTTATTGGAGTCTAATTAGCAATTTTTCTAGGCAGGCATTCAAACCAACTTTTTAATAAAATTCTTAATCCACGTCTCTCTCTCTCTCCTTTTGTTTCATGGCCATTGGTTCCTTGGCTAGTACTCTGCTTTATTTCATTCATGTTTCTTTCACTTCAGATATTTGAAAAGTAGATTCTAAAAAGCAAAGTTACACTGCTTACACACACAGAGTATACATATGTTAAATGGACTTTTTTTTTTCAGTGCATACTTGTACTGAGGTTTTACTTAACCATTTTCTAAGCAGTTATAACATATTCTATATTCTGTTGCTGAGGTAACTGCACTTCTCATCTCTTGGAGAGAGGTAGCCTTATTATACACCTGAATAATACAGTTCTCTCCCAAAGTGTGCTCTCTACTACCAGCAGATTCCTTCCCCTTCTCTCTGGCTTACCGAGAACTAAGGCTCTACCCGTTCCCTAATCCTAGCCACCCCACTCCCTTCCATCTGCATGGGAGAGGGAGTAGTGATGCCACAGAGGCTGCTTTTCCCCACTGTGGTTGACCCATGATGCATCAAGCCTCATGTGTTATACCCCCTTACTCTCCTACTCAGCGATGTAAGGGTGGGTCACAATCTTGCTCTTTAATGATACCACTAGTAGGCATAGTCCCAAAGAGAATATTTTATCTGACTTCATGGCCTATCTCTAAACTCTGTCTTAAATACACATCTCCCATCAGAATAGGGTGACCAGATGTCCTGATTTTATAGGGACAGTCCTGATTTTGGGGTCTTTTTCTTATATAGGCTCCTATTATTCTCCCACCCCGTCCCGATTTTTCACATTTGCTGTTGGGTCACCCTACATCAGAAGTCCCATTGAAATCAACAGAATTACCCATGAAAGGGGGAAGTATTTGGTCCTAGACATAGCATAAATGTAGCTGAGAAGAACCAAAATCATTTATATGTTTCCATCCCAGGGGACTATCCAAAGACCCAGAGTCTGTTCTCAGTAAAGTCAATGCAAAACTGCAAACTAACTCTACTGATAAAAAGTCATACTTCAGTGCATATTATGTATTACTACTACAGCAGGTGGGGGGGGGAGGGAAATTCATCTGAAACATTTTTTTCATGGAAAAATGCAAATTCAGGTTGACTGAAAAAGCAAATTTATGTTGATTTCAGCCAATTACTTCAGTCTGAATGAATAAAGAAAACATTTTGTAAATGTTGAAATGTATGGAATATTCTCGGTGGGAATATTTTTCCTAATCTCTCTCTCTGAAGTTGTTCCACTTCATATAAAATACTTCAATAGTCACAGAGCTGGGTCAAACTAAATCTTTCATTCAACCCAAATTGAAATTTTCCCAACTTTTCAACTTGCTGATAATTCTGAAAAATTTCAGTTTTAGTTCCACCTGAACCAAAAGGTTTTTTTGTTTCTCCCCCCTTAACCCTGGCCAAGGAACCACCAGTGAACCAAAAAATCAGTTATTTGCCCAGCTCTTTTTCTGACAGTTGATCTTTGAGGCTCAGTATGGTATATAATGTAAAAAGAAAAGTGATACATGAATAGTTATCAATAAGGTTTTTTTAATACTTGGCAATAATTGTTGTCTTTGACAGACATTTCAATATTTTCACATGATTACATTGGGGATCATGAATTATTTATACTTATGTTTTTAATGGGATATGCCTGAATGTTTTATTAAAAAGAAACATGTTGCATGCTTAAAATTTATGTATAAGAGGCAGCAGCTTTGCCATATAATATTGAAACTCGAGCAAAAAGATGTGTATGCATGCACAACAAATATCTTCTGTAAAACAGAAATTGCAATATGTATAATGAGTAAATGACCTATGTCTGTAGCTCAGCTGGACTCCTTCTGAGTGGAACAGTTAAGGGTAATTAAAGGTAACAAAAGAAGTCATGTTTCTTAAGTATAATGTAAAAAAAATTGTTAACTTCTGTGGTTTCTGTGCTCCCTTTGCAACTCTGTTTAGGAACCTCACAAATCAGGCTGCCAAGTCCCTAAGAATTATTCTAGGTTGTGAAGTTACCATCCGATGAGGATCTCATTTGTTTAACATCCAGAACTGAAATATTTTTTATGTTTAATGATATTCCTGTGAAAATACTTCTTGAAAATTGGCTAAAAAGAGTTTAGCCATTTATTTTAAGTGTGGATACTCAGAAACATTGCTTTATTCTCAATACACAGTAGCATAAAGGGTCTAGGCAACTTATACCCTTTGGTGACTAGTATATACAAAGTAAGGCCATGATCCAGCAAACTGATCCATACAGGCAGTATCCTGTGTCTTCAGTGGGTCTCTGCGCTGACATAAGTGTACACTCACCTACTTGAGATTGCAGGATCAGGGCCTAAGTCACTTGCAAAATTGAAAGGTTTGAATTGAGAGAGGTAAATTGAATGGAAAGAGGTAAATCGTGGTATCCCCCAGGGTCTGTTCTGGGACCAGTCCTATTCAACATATTCATAAATGATCTGGAAAAGGGGTAAACAGTGAGGTGGCAACAGATGATACAAAATTACTAAAGATAGTTAAGACCAGGCAGACTGCGAAGAGCTACAAAGGGATCTCTCAGAACTGGGAGAATGGGCAACAAAATGACAGATGAAAGTTAATGTTGATAAATGCAAAGTAATGCACATTGAAAGTATAATCCCAACTATACATATAAAATGATGTAAATTAGCTGTTACCACTCAAGAAAGAGACCTTGGAGTCATTATGGATAGTTCTCTGAAAACATCCACTCGATGTGCAGCGGCAATCAAAAAAGTGAACAGAATGCTGGGGATAATTAAGAAAAGGATAGATAATAGGACAGAAAATATCATGTTGCCTCTATATAAATCCATGGTACGCCCACATCTTGAATACTGTGTGCAGATGTGGTCGCCCCATCTCAAAAAAGATATATTGGAATTGGAAAAGGGTCAGAAAAGGGCAACAAAAATGATTAGGGATATGGAACGGCTTCCATGTGAGGAGAAATTAATAAGACTGGGACGGCTAAGGGGAGATATGATTGAGGTCTATAAAATCATGACTGGTGTAGATAAGGAAGTGTTGTTTACTACTTCTCATGACACAAGAACTAGGGGGTCACCAAATGAAATTAATAGGCAGCAGGTTTAAAACAAATAAAAGGAAGTATTTCTTCACACAATGCACAGTCAACCTGTGGAACTCCTTGCCAGAGGATGTTGTGAAGGCCAAGACCATAACAGGTTTCAAAAAAGAACTAGATAAATTCATGGAGGATAGGTCCATCAATGGCTAATAGCCAGGATGGGCAGGAATGGTGTCCCTAGTCTCTGTTTGCCAGAAGCTGGGAATGAGCGACAGGGAATGGATCACTTGATAATTACCTGTTCTGTTCATTCCCTCTGGGGCACCTCGCACTGGCCACTGTCAGAAGACAGGATACTGCGCTAGCTGGACCTTTGATCTGACCCAGTAGAGCCATTCTTATGTTCTTTTGTAAAGGTTGCTTGATATAGAGGGAGGGGGCATGTAGAGCAGTAGTGGGAAGTGAAAAAAATATTTTGCCTCAAATCTGTATGTGTATTGTGTTTCAAGAATAACTGTTCTCTGTGAAGATTTCACAGGAAATTACATGACTTTTTCCCTCAGAAGTTACTGTACCCAGTGAAAAGAAGAGAGAAGAGAACTGAAATATAAAAACAATTTGTTCCAGTTACTGCTTAATGAATCTTGGGTCCATATACTGCTCTTGATTTGCATGCAAAATGGTAATGGATGTCGATGAGAGTCACATGTACAGATTTAAGAAAGTGTATATAGCCGTTAATGCAGAACTAAAGCAACTACTAATTTTGAAAATGAGTCCTGTAGAATTAATAAAATTAAGAAGGGCCATATCTTAATAGTTTTTTGGACAAAACTTGTATTATCTTTATTGAGAATTCAGTGAATGAATCAATAGTCGGACATGGCCCAACCTATATAGATCAGTCATATCAAAATTTAGATTCATTTTTCAAGAGTCATGATATGAACCATTTCAAATTCGAACAGATACACAGATCAGAATATCCTTAACAAATTACTGTATTTCAATTTAAAGATGTTTTTCACTCTTTAGCATGTAAATGTGCATGGTATGTGTTCTTATATAATGTGGGATTCCTTTTCAACTGTCTCTTACTTGATTGTTCTCAGATGACTTCTGCTATTCTTTCAGGAAAAAGTGTTATTACACTGACTGGAGGAGCAAAACCATGGGCAGGTTGGTGGGTGATGCATAGCTTCTAATCTTGCATATAGTCACCTGCTAAACATTAGCAGTTGTAAATTTATCCAAAGCAACTAAAACCATGAAATTTGATTCATGGAAACTCAAAAATGCATTAACACAAATAATGCCTTAAAATAGCCAGCTGTTACATGATGCAGTACAGTACAGTTTTTCCCAATTCTCACTCTGCAAATGAAATACTTCTCATACCAAAACAATGGTCTCATTTAGTCTATCAGCAAAGATTTAATATCAAAGACAGCATTGCAGTGAGGCCTCCGGTTACTAAAATTTCATTGTTGCTTTACAAAATATACTTTTTACTAGCACATTATGTCTTTGTATTAATCAAAACCAAACTCCAGTTGTTGAACTAGGAACCTGAGCCCGCAAATACACACAACTTTCACTTTATGCCTGTGAGTAAAGGCCTAAATTTAAAAGTACACTTTGTGATGCAGTATCCTTGAGCTTTTGTTTCATATATTTGATGGCTAACAGTAATATTCAGTAAAGGGTCTTTGACTCACTGTGTGAGTTAGCAAGGTTCTACTATATTTCTACCATACGCTCCATTCTCGCATTATGGGTTGTTAATTTTCCATAGAGAAGCACTCACTTGTAGAAACGGTACCCTCGAGCTGGTAAGACCTATTGTTCTGTTCCAAAATTTAAGTACCAATTGAAACAAGCTTATCAGATTTCTAGACTAATTTCCATACCAAAAATGTGTGTCCTAATGCTTATGAGTAAGCTTGGAAGGATTAGATTTGCATCAGTAAATGTCGATAAACATCAATTTCACCCATACACACACACACACACCAACAGAAATATTTCCATCGAGTATAATCAAAATTTGTAGAGAGACAAAGTAAGAAAAATGCAGCTTATGAAATTATTGAAATTTGATTTAAGGTTTTATTTGGTATGTTTTGATATGTGATGTTGACAATTTATATTGTAACAGTTATAAAGCTCTAACTTTTTGAATCTCAACATTTACTATCATTAAAAACATTTTCTAATTCCCCATAATTTCCTGCAACTGTGAAAATTTAAATAGATAAATTTTAAAAGCTTAAAACCAATAACTTTGCACAAATGTGAAAATTTAAATTGATAGAATTCTAAAAAAAATGCTTAAAAATAGACATTGATATCCATCGAAATTATAAAAAAAAAATACAGGAATTCTGCTAAGCATATTTATGAACCAAATATCTACATTTGCTTGACAATTAATTATTACACTATAGAGCCTCCAAGAGTGCAAATCCTGCCAGAGTTCACTATTTCCTGTGCAGTATTCAGTTAATATGTTGTTGGTTGTGCAAGACCACCAGTTAACCAAAAAAAAAAATCACAAAATATCACTGAATTGCAATATTTGGTTTATAAATCCAGTTTCAATAATAATATTAGATGGAAATAATTTATAACATAAATTTACAACTGCTTTTCTCCTCTCCCCGTCATGCATGTGCTTGCTTCATTTTAGTGTACAATTCAAAGCAAACCACTTACATTTTTGTAATATTAAGGCAAATGTAACAGGGCTATGCCATAAAACAAACTTAGTTCGATACTGAATTCTTCTGGGGATTTCTGGGTGTAATAAAAACTTGGATGTTAGGTGGATTTATGATCCCATTTAGTAACACAGGTATCTAGAATATGCAATCGAAATCAACCTAGTTTCTAAGAGTAGAGTAACAAACAATATTGCCATATTTGCATTCAGGAAGGAATTTTCCCCCAGGTCAAATTGGCAGAGACCCTGTTTTTTGTTTGTTGTTTGTTTGCCTATTTCACAGCATAGAGCAAGACAGTCACTTGCTGGTTTGAACTAGAGTAAATCATGCATTCTCTGTAACTTGAAGTCTTTAAATCAAGATTTGAGGACTTTAGTAAGTCACCCAGCAGTTATGGGTAAATTACAGGAGTGGGTGGGTGAGGTTCTGTGGCCTGCAATGTGCAGGAAGTCAGACTAGATTATCATGATGGTCCCTTCTGACCTTGCATGGTGTCAAGTATCAGAGGGGTAGCCGTGTTAGTCTGAATCTGTAAAAAGCAACAGAGGGTCCTGTGGCACCTTTAAGACTAACAGAAGTATTGGAGCATAAGCTCCAATACAACACAATACAACTACACCAGCAACACCATCACAGGACCTAACCAGATCAGCTACAACATCACCGGCTCATTCACCTGCACGTCCACCAATGTTGTATATGCCATCGTGTGCCAGCAATGCCCTTCTGCTATGTACATTGGCCAAACTGGACAGTCACTACGCAAGAGGATAAATGGACACAAGTCAGATATCAGGAATGGCAATACACAAAAACTTGTAGGAGAACACTTCAACCTTCCTGGCCACACAATAGCAGATGTAAAGGTAGCCATCTTACAGCAAAAAAACTTCAGGACCAGACTCCAAAGAGAAACTGCTGAGCTCCAGTTCATTTGCAAATTTGACACCATCAGATAAGGATTAAACAAAGACTGTGAATGGCTATCCAACTACAGAAGCAGTTTCTCCTCCCTTGGTGTTCACACCTCAACTGCTAGCAGAGCACCTCACCCTCCCTGATTGAACTAACCGCGTTATCTCCATACTGATATATACCTGCTTCTGGAAATTTCCATTACTTGCATCTGATGAAGTGGGCATTCACCCATGAAAGCTTATGCTCCAATACTTCTGTTAGTCTTAAAGGTGCCACAGGACCCTCTGTTGCTTCCTTCTGACCTTGAAGTCCATGAGAACTTTAACATCAGAGACAAATACACTTACATGTTTCATTTTTATATGAAGTTTGTTTTGTGAGAAATTAAAAAAAACAAGCGAGGGAAGTTAAATATTTTGCTGGTTTTTTTTATTCCAGCATTTTAAAAGAGCAAACACCTTTTTAAAAGAATTGCATGTGAACTCTTACTGTTGAAAAGTCCAAATCTAAATAAGAAAACTAATCCTAAAAATGCACACAACACAAAATTTGAAAAATAAATCACATTGTTATAATTCTTTTCAGTATGTGTGCATCACTGTCCATATTACCATAATAAATCTATAGATTGACAAACTGTGACCTATGAACATAAACATAGGTCATAGGAATGACTGTTCTATTAAAATTTTGAAATTAACAGGTAGAGTGCACAAGAACTAGAATAAAGAACTACATTAAAATGAATATTTCTCATCACTCCTACTTAATTTTTAAATAAAAGATTATAGTCTATTAGACTGTTTTGCGTATTGGGGATAAATTCTAATCTCAGATGTATCTGCACAGGCAGGATTTGATTTTTAATACCCTTGGTGTCAGATATTTTAAAAATTCATGATGATATTAATGTATTAGGAGTAATTCTGTAGATATTCCACACCTACTCAGTCCTGTGGGACTTGCTCATAAATAATCACTGTAGAATTGGACCTATTGTTTAGGAAAGTTCTGTGCATGCGCACACTTCATTTTTGTCACCCTAAATTTACTTCAAAATTGGCATATTAAAGATATGCAAAATGGGTTATTTTATTTCACAGTCTTTATCCAGGATGAAATACTGATATTTCCTGCAGCAAAATGGCAACTCTTGGAGTAGAGCTCTTGGAGTAGAGCAATGGAAACAGGAGTGTGTTTTTTGTTTTGTTTTGTTTTTTTTATGGTGAAATAAGGCTCTCTCCTTGCAGAAACTGTCATTAATTCTAGCTTTAAAAAATGCATTTGCTAGTTAGTGAACCCCAATATTTTTCTACATCTCTCTGTAGTATGTGGCTTTAGGGCCTGATCCAGTTTTCATAGAAGTTAATTGGAGTCTTTCCATTGACTTCAGTGGGAGTTGGATTGTGGTTATGACACCAGATCTTAAGCTGGTGTAAACTAACATAATCCTATTGCATTTAATAGAACTATGCCTGTTTACACCAGCTGAGGATCTAGTCCATAGTGTACAGATAGATAACCATCCTTACTTAGGAATATGTATATTTGCAAGTAAAGAATGTAATAAATTAAGAGCTGTTATGGGGTCCAATCCTGCAAGTTCTCCATGAATGGGACTTCCATTGAAGTCAATGGAATGCTTACAGGGTCAGAGCTCTATTGTCTATGGGATCAAATATCTGTGTTTTTACCAGCTCATTTATTAAATCACTCGATTAAGTGAATATGTACCTGATCATGATGTCCTTGTACTGCCACTCATATCTCCACATTCTACAGGAACAGCAAGATCGTACTCTATAAGACTAAATAATTCATACTTTAAAAGTCTGCAAGTAAATACATTGCAGATAAAGAAAGCACATATCAGAAATTGTCTGAATTCTCCCAGACTTCAGACTAGATGACCTAAAAGATTTTTGTTTGTCTTTTGTCTCTGATTTTTCAGACTAATATTTTTCTTTTTTCTTTTAAGACTCATATTGAGGAAAACACCAAAATAAATTCTACTATACACTCAGCAAAATGTTTACATAATATTTTAATTCTGGTTTAGGCCCACAAAATCTGGGCAATTATGAATTATAATAACATAGTTGCCATTTCTAATTGAATTTTTTACTAGAGCTGGGCAAAACTGAATAGTTCATTTTCTGAAAAAAAATCAGTCTAGGGTCTATAGAAACTAATTGTGAATTCAAGTCCAATTTGGTGAATTGTTCTGGCTGAAGAAAATCATTGGAAATATATGTTTCAACATTTTGAAAATGAAATGATTTAACTTTTTTGTTTCAAAATGATATTTCGTTTTGAAATTTAAGTAGAGGTATTAAAAGGGTAGGGTTAAAACACCTGAAAATGAAAACCAAACAGGGGGAAAGTTTCAAATGAATCTTTGAAATCAAATGAATCTGATTTGCCCCCTGAACAAAAATCAATTATTTGCTCAGCTCTAGTTTTTACTTCTAAGTATTAGAAAGGATATATTCCAATCTTCCTTCATCAGAAGTCTGCAGAATTGAAAATGACCTAGCT